GGGGGGGGGGGGGGGGGGGGGAGGTTGGCACATGCCGGAAATTCCCAAGAACTGTCGGACATAAAGCGTGTTGGGTTCTGAATCCATCGGACTTGTACTGTAAAGGAGTGCATAGGTCTAGTGCTTCAGCAATCAACCGGCGGCGGAAAGCAATGACTCCGCCGCACGAAAGAATCGGGTTGGGGCGGGGCCTTTCACCACGATTTCCGCAAAAAAACGGCCAAAGCAGAACCATACGGTGCCGCTGCAGCCGAATGCGACATAAGACCACGAGACCCGCCACCTTACGACAGGTTAGGATTAGGAAGGTGCCATGGTCGATATACTCCGGCGCAGCAAGATGTTGAACACCACGTCTTACCTGTCGGTTGACGCACCACTCCAAAATGCCTTGTCGGCGTGGTATTGGAAGCTTCTCGAGGACCCCCAACAGCTTTAGCGAGGCCACCGCACAATACGTCGGGCCCGCTGGTTTGAGAAAATAGGGCACGCGTGACGCTACAAGATTGGTTTTTTTCGACAACTACACAGAATGGGAGAGCGGATGCCATTGAAAGGCACACGAAATGCGCCAATCGGTTATATTGACAAACTGGACCCACGGCTTGGGGGTGTGTCAACGTTGCTTGACTTTGCTTGATAGACTCACCGCATGCCTCACGCCCTGGTGCCATTCCAATGCCCCCATCAAAGTCCTGGTTTCGTTGCAATCAACGCGAGGGAGACGAACAAGGGGTTATACAAACAGTGCTGTAGGAGAAAGAACGCGAAGCAAGACACACCTCGAATCGCGCAACATCATATCACGCGATGATACAAAGCTAACGAAATGGCATCCACGACTACAGTACTGCTGTTTCCTTTTTGCGGAACATGATACTTCCGTCCCATGTGAAAGCACGGGTTGCTGCTGGGAATAGCCCCCCGGTTTGTTCACCATCTGAAACCGTTTTCAACTTCCAGTATACAATACCAACCAGACCATCTCTGCAAGTTAGCTCACGTAGCACCGTTCCACGTATTCGGCGGCCTTTCTTCGATCAACACCACTCCAGTTGCCCAGGATGGTTGACACGGCGCAGGCACAGTAGGTGAAGCGGACGTCGCACGTGGAGTCGCTTGCGGAAGCTTTGAAGCTGATTGGGGTTGACGTGTGCAAAACGAGCCGGGTCGGGTCTACGTACCTGGGGGGATTGAAAGGATTGCCTTACGGGGCGTTCGATATGCTGGTCCGGTGGCGGTGCCGTACGTAGTCTTAGTCTTAGCGCTCGTGGATGATTGTGCAGTTTTCTTGTCGCCCGCGACTTATCCTTAGCATGTTTAAGTCCATGAAGGGCCAGGTATTCCCACTTTGACGACGAATGATATGAACAACTCGCGGTCGATCGCCTAACTAACCAGTCTTGCACCCCAGTCGCATATGCAATCAAAATGGCGTCACGATGAAATCGTAGCAATGGCCACTCGAGAAGCAGCACAAGTGGACCCTTTCAGGGACAAGCAACCGTCCGTCGCACGTCGTTTTGAGAGGGGAAAATCGTCCAGGAGAACCTCCTCCATGCACGTACAATACTTCACCTTCCATCCTCCCGTTGGAGTGACCCAAGCGCCCGCACAATGGCGTCACTGTCGACACCCGTAGTCAGATCAACATCTAGTGCCACCAGCGTCGCCAGCGCAGAGTAGGTCGCAGCCAGATTGCCTTCGCCCGCGTCATCTTCGCCGTTTCTCTGTGAAGGCTCTGCTACCACGCCGAACGGGCCGCCGCGAAACCCACGTCGTCGCCAGTCCCCTCCTGTCACACGCGACACCATGTGATCAGCCATTACTGCTGTAGAACCTTTCCCAATACAGTTTTCCGACATGAGCATGAGTTGAGCCCGTACAATCAGGTTGCATGCTTCCTGCGATAGTAACCTCAAAGTTGTCGTTGGCGTGCGGCTGACGATGTATTGCTTCCTCGCAACACAAAATATAATTCCTTCTAGTCCAGCAAATTGACTGCAACTCGAATTTTTCGAACACCTGCGACTTGTTGCGCTAAGACCCAGCGCTTGACCGTCGCCCTTTCGGCCTCCGTGCATGAATCAAGCTTCCCGATAAGGTCTAGCCCAGTCACGCAAAAGTAGGCGAGGGTCGTCTGCAACAACAGAGGAGAATCGTTTAGTTTATTTAGCACAGGGGTGGGTAGTCGAGTCGACGGCAAGAGCATAAGTATCGTTCCTAGGCAATCACAGCTATCGAGCTCTCCCGTATGTACCAGTCGGGGAGCTGGCAAAAACGATCAATCGAAAATAAAGAACGAGGTGATTTACTTGTATTGTCACAGGTTCGCACGGGGATCGGAGAGATAGCATGAGGCGGGGGGTTGCTCTTTCCTTGTTCCGGCACACCCGCTTCGCCTGTGACATTGAGTGCCACCTGAAGTGATGTCGCGAAACTTTTAAACCGCCACGCACAAAGTACAACAAACAGCAGTAAGCACCGTGTTCTGTGTCTGCAATTACTGCTTAAAGAGGCTTCATTTTCGACTCGGACTCAAAAGGGCTTGGGTGCGGGGAACGATAAAGTAATTTACAAACCAAAGTACGTGAAGGGAATAACTCTCCTTCTCATTGTGGCAAATATCACCTGTGTATCTCTCCCCTCGCGATATTCGTGTGCACTCCAGCACACACAGCACATCCTATTTTTCTAGGAATATATACAATACCCAACACCCCATTCGTAGTGATAAGGAACGTTTTCCCCTCGATTACGTTAGCAATCTACTGCTACTCTGGTCTACGAATCACTTATCGGTCCCCGCCTCCACGCCGTTTTGATCCCGTGCACATAACGAAGCCTTTTTGAACAGACCACTGTGGGAAACACAGAACACCGTGCTCACTGCTGTTACCGCATATGGTGCACTCTATTCTAGTGCCGTCACGGATCCGATCTTAAGAGTCTAGCCTTCAAAATTTCGCTGATTGTTCATGTAGTATTCTCGCCTCTTTGCCCTTTTGGCTGTTTCCCTCTCCAGCCCTGACCGTAGAAGGGCGACATTAATTCCAACTGTGCTCTCTCTTTTAACCTGCCTGTTCCGCCCTCTCTTTCTCTGCATGTCTGCCTCTCTCGATGGGTACACTGCTAATCCCTCTATTCCCTCTCCTGCACTCTTCGACCTGACACTTCATTTTTTGTCCACGGAAGACTACAAATATGTGTGCTGTGTGTATTATGTCTAAGGTGCTTTCTGCTCTCTTTCTCCAAGCGTACACCTGCCTATCATTCCATCACCAATCGCTCTACACTTCCACTCTGCCGTCTATGGGACTAACGTGCTTGTTTTCGAGTGTACATCTGGTCGCCTCGCCCTTTATTGTATCTACCCCTTAGAGCCGTTTCTCGCCGTGCCTACTCTACGCTATCTCCCTGTGTATATGCTTGGCAAGGTCATACAGGAGCTTTTCCCCCGCCTTTCCTCCTTTTGCCTTAGTTTTTATCGCGAGAAGGGTTCAACCGTGTCTTTCCCTTGACGACCGTGAAGTTTATAAAGTGTGCTTGGAGTGTGCATGCTCACGAAAATACTTCGAAATATTTGTAGGGAAAGAAAAGTCTCTCTCTCTCGAAAGTCGAACCCACAGCTGGTTAATAACATCTCTAAGCACATGATAGATTATAGTATTCCATTAAAAATAGACCACCAGGGGCGACCGGCAAAAAATGATCTCGACACTCGGATTCGAACCAAGGACCAACAGATTACCACGGTTTGCCACTACAGTCTGTCGCTCTACCGGGCTGAGCTATGTCGAGATGTTAGCATAGCAATTCTTCGATTCTTCACTCAGTCACCCACTCTCTCTTTTCGATGCGCAAACTACCATTCCCTCCACCCCCTCCAGTATCTACCGTGTACTTGTACCGATCTCGTTTTCTAGGCTTCGACCCATCCACTCCATGTCTCGTCTGTCTCCTTCCTTCTCAATTCCGTCCGTTGCTGAGCTGTCTCTGTAAGAGGTGCATGTTGTCCGCAGACACATATATATCCACACCTGGAAACTATGCACCATATCTGCGTAGAAAGGCCACTTGGTGTCTCGCACCGATGACACTCGCACGTTATATCTACCAGTCATGCTACACAAGTAGTCTGTTACCTTGCTACATCCGTATATTTCCCTGCTGCTAGGCACAGCAGCAGTACCGTGGAGAGGCTTGTCGGGGTGGGTCCAATGCTACCGAGTAAACGGGGGTGTTCCAGGTTCAAATGTTCAATGTAATCAGAGTGTTCATTCTCGATGTCGGCCTTTCAAAATAATTGTGCGTTCCATCCAGATAGAGCACTAGATTGCCTACCCCGCTTCCCGTGGGCATGTCATGTATCTTGTATGGCAGGCAACCATTTTGTGTCGCAATGCACAAGATGCATAGACCGCTGACAGAATGAGTTCATTCTTTTGTTCTGGATCTCTTACCCTTTGTGTGTCTGCCGTGGTGTACTGCCTGGGTAGGCCAGGGTTCAGAAGACTTCGGTGGAAAAACCCGGTGTGTTTATCCCAATCGAATCCCATGCCCAGCGCGAACGGTGGCGTGGTGGTAGAGACACGCAAGAGACGCAAGCACGCAAGCAGGCACACACAGGCAAGACCCACGATTGTTCATTTTTCTGTTTTCAGAGCAGCCACGACACTCCCCTCCCTCCCATCAAATCCCTATCGCGCATCCCCCGCGCCCGCGAAGCCGACAGAGACAGCACCCGGTTGTCCTCCCCGAAGAAACGCTAGCACAAAGAGTAGAGTAAACTGGCCAACAACGATATCAAGGAGGAGGAGAAGCTGCTGCGTGGTTGGTTCGGGGACTGTATCACTAACACTAGGATTGCATTGAACGGTTGTTGAGCATGGCAGACCCGCAACCGCCTTCGGCGGATGCTGCTCCAGCTGCTGCTGCCACCGCTGACTTGGAATCAAAGGAGATCTGGGGGGACGAGGCTGACCAGCTTGATGAGGAAATCATGAAGGTACGGACCGTGTTAAAAGCTTTCATTTTGGCAATGGCAAAGACCGTCACCTTGCACGAAGAACTGCCGTTGATTTCGCATGAGGCGATGGACACACCGGACGCTGTGCGCTCCTCCTCTTGCTGTGATTGTTGAAACTTGATGAGACACGTATAGAGTGAAAGTCTGCGGGAGGACAGAGCAACAGCAGCAGCACAAGTAGCTCACCATCACCAGCAACAACAGCAGTGGTCAACGTTACCTAATCGGTAGCTGTCATGGGCATTGCGTGCAAAAAATAGAGATGCTCAGTAAATACAAACTGCTGGAAACTACTTCCCTACTTATTTATCGACGTTATGTAGCGGCAAGGATAGAGCGTGTTCTTCGCGATTGTCGGCTTTTCCCCGTGAGGAACAGCAGTCTACAGCAGCAGCCTTGCAACACTCCGTTCAGGGTGTCTGCAAACTGCGGGACGTTAGTTTTCCTTAAAACTGCGAGACGTTGGGAAAAGAGGCTGGTAGCGGTTGGCAACGTGTCCATTACTCTTATTGCGAGTATCGAAAAAGCATGCCCAAATACAGATAGATGGCGTGAGGAGAAGGAGGTGGGTCGCCTGATGCTAAGTAGGGCCTCAGTCCCCATGTCTTTGGGGGGGTTCCATGTAAGCGAGATCGGGTGCGCATCCCCGCCGCCTGACAGCAATCTGATCTGCTTTGTTTGTTTGGTGAGTTGCTTAGTGGCTGTTAAAAGCAGAATCCGTCGTTTCGACCTCTCCGAATGCAGACTTGAGATTGACCTCAAGCCTGAAATATTCCGAGCACATGAAATACGCCCACGCACACCTATCGCTGGATGTTCCACATGGCGCCGATGTTTGCCGACCGTCACTGCTGACAGATGGGGTCGGAGGAGCTGCGACAACGTATGCGGCTGCTGGATAACGAGATTCGCATCATGCGGAGCGACCAAGACCGCATCCGGCATGAGAGCGCAACTCAGGTCAGTCACCCTCGACATGGACGTGCAAAAGCTAATGTAGTTGCTGCGCGAGTATTGAGGTCCTACCGCTGCTGTGCCGTGAGTCTTCTACACGAAAATCCGGCGACTCGATAACGTCATCACGGCATGAAGTGCCGTTCCCCTTTATTGCCAATCACACCTTTTTTTGCAAGTCTCGTTCGTTATTGGCGCCGTGGAAGCATGCACACATCGGAGCCACGTTGTCTGCCGACGGATCACACTACATCAACCATGGGGCACATGGCCATCCTCTCACTCCACCTTTCAGCTGACCCGCCATGATCCTTGTTGTTGCTCTTGCTCTTGTTTGTTATGGCGTCGTGCCAACGATGCGATGCACCCTTCAGAAGGACAAGATCAAAGAGAACAAAGAGAAGATCAAGCTCAACAAGCAGCTGCCGTGGCTTGTGGGGAACGTAGTCGAGGTGGGAGAAAGACGGACTTGTCCTGAGCATTGTGATGGGCGCCTTGAAGGACGCCGCAGGTCCAGCAGCGTGTTAACATCCAGCCATGCCAGGGCGTTTAGTTCACTCCTATGTTTGTCCTTTAGCTCTAGCGGCGGTACGCGGAAGCCATCGTGTTTCTAGGTGTGAAAAGTAACAATCGAAAGATGTGCGAGGGGGGTTAACAGGTGCCCCCCATGTTCGCCTGACCGCCGTTCGTTGAGTGTACGTTTATCCTCGTGATAGCTTTTCTGACTGGTGCTGATCTCACCCTTGACGTTTTCGCTGGTAAATGGTTCTGGCAGTGCTTCGTCATTCTTGTGGTGACTCGTTTTTTGAAACGAATTTGCCGCGTTTTGAAGATAATATATGTTGCGGGATGCCGAAGCTCGAGGGTGTATAGGGTGTGTCCGACCTTCTACACTGAACCTTAAGCATATCTCACCCGCTTCGGTCCTTGCGACTTTCATGTCTTGTATTATTTAGATCTTGGACCCGGAGGATGACCCCGAGGAGGAGGAGGAGGACGGGGGGGCGCAGGATATCGACGCAACGCGGTCGGCCAAGAGCGCGGTGATGAAAACGTCCACGCGACAGGTGAGGGGAGCAGGCAGGCCGGCAGCACCTCCTGTTGTTGGTGTTTCGTCGATGGGGAGCTGTTTGCCTACGACGGGCTACGAAGAGTATAGTGTACCTCGTCTTGAGAAATCAAGCGAGGGACTGGGTCTGCGTAGCCATGCCGAGCAGCGGTGAGGGCGAAATCGTGTAATCGTTATCATCCGCGACTATTACTCAAGCGTGATAGCATAGCATAGTACAGTGGGTGTGTCCAATACACGATGCAATATTCCCACGCTTCGTGTCCTCGTCAGACGATCTACCTCCCGGTGCCCGGACTGGTCCCGACGGAGGAGCTCACGCCGGGAGACCTGGTGGGAACCAACAAGGACAGCTACCTTATCCTTGAGAAGCTCCCGGCCGAGTACGACAACCGCGTGAAGGCCATGGAGGTGGACGAGAAGCCCACTGAGGAGTATAGCGACATTGGCGGTGAGTTGCGGTTGTTTGGTGGTGGCGGTCTGTGGGCCGTGGTTAGCGCAAGTTGCTTGATTCTGAACACACACGCGTGCCTTGGACGTCGTGAAGGCATGTAGCTTGTAGGATTTTGTTGTCGTTTTTGTAGTCTTGTTGGTGGGGTTGCGGCTGTGGGGTTGACATCACATTGGAGTGCAAGCGTTCAGCAGGATTTCGAGCATCAAGAGACAGCTCTAAAGTTTGGCTTTTCGGTGTTTGAACAGTTGAAGATGATAATTACGCATGTGAGAGAGGCAAGAGAGAGAGAGAGGGAGAAACCGAGAGACAGACGGACCGATACAAACAGAGACAGTTACTTCGTGTTGATACAGTTCACCGCTCGATCTCTAACCTCGATTCCCTCCGATCTCTCACACCAACAACACAACCAAACCTTGACCGGCAGGGTTGGACAAGGAGATCCAGGAGCTGATCGAAGCGGTTGTGCTGCCCATGACCCACAAGCACATGTTCGACAACATCGGCATCCGCCCCCCGAAGGGCATCCTGCTCCACGGACCCCCGGGGACGGGAAAGACGCTCCTCGCGAGAGCCTGCGCCAAGCAGACCGATGCCATCTTCCTCAAGCTGGCGGGTCCGCAACTTGTGCAGGTTTGTCGGAACCTTTTGCAGCCCAACCGAATCAGAACCGACACCATTGCGCTTTTTCTTGCTGGTAGACGAAGAGAGCGCGCACGGACGGTTGAGAGCTCTTATAGCCAGCCGAAGGGCAAACACATGCTGCGTCGACGAATTTCTGTTGCGCCACCCCGTCTGTTACCACGCAAACGACAAACTCTTGCACAAGTCCGATGGGTTGGTTCGTGGCGACTTACAAGCGTCTGCCGTAATTTGCGTCTTATGCTTTCTAGACGAGTGTTTGGAGCACGAAGGGGGGTTGGTGTCGTGCGAGTATTGGGTACACTGGTGGCGGTTGCTGCTGTGATCTGTGTTGATGTGTTTTTGTAGATTCTCAAGCTTCGCTTTCTTGGCGGCATTCCCCTCTCCCCTCTTTCTGTGATGGGTCCTGAGGGAACAATGCTCGTCCTCTTGCTCCGTCCTCTCGAGGACGCGTGGTCAATGGTCTAATCGCAAAGGCATGCAAAATCATAAGAGTACGCCCCCCCTCTTTCTGCTCGCCGCCGTCTGCGTTAGATGTTCATCGGAGATGGCGCAAAGCTTGTGCGCGATGCGTTCGAGCTGGCGAAGGAAAAGTGCAAGGACCAGCAAAAGGTCAGTCAGCTACAATATGTATGTCGTCGCTTTATCTTCCAAGCTCCAAGCGTCCACCGCCTTTCACGAGGTCTCACGGCGCAGCGAAAGTTAGTGTCAAGAGTGCTGATGGGCGCGTGACATTGTTTTGGGGGTTTCGTGACAAGTGTGCCTCTTGGCGATCCTGCTCCGTTGAGTTCCCGCGCACATGCTTCCTCCGCCGACGCTGCCAGAGCCATGCCTCTTGGTCAGGAATCAATCACGTGTGTCGTAGTTTGTGTGGAGAAGAGGCATTCTTCTGTCATTTTTCAAGCTCGTCTCCGCAGTTTTTGGCATAGGCTCGTCTTGGTTCCACTGGATGGGATGCCCCTGAAACTCTGAGACTGATCCGTTGATTAAGGTTTACAGTACCGCCGGCGTCAGCAGCCAATGCATGTCACGCGCCCTTGACAGTGTTTTGTCCGCACTCAAAAGTACCACCCAGATGATACAGGGACCCAGATGACACAGGGCAGGGTTGGTGTGATACACAATGCGTGTCCGGGCTGGATCTAAGAATTCTACTGTATTGGTGTGCAATATCGTACGAACCGTGACGTTGATTACTATACAAATAGTCTCACCTGGGTGGTATTTGTACCACCAGACGTAGTCTCCATACCCTGCGATGATCGCAGCCACCTAGTACGGTAGTTTGAAGTACAGCAGTACCCTACCCAAGACTGGCGGACAGGTACTCTTGACGCGAGTAGAAGCCGCTCAGTGACAGTGTTTGCTTGCTGACACGCTTGTTTTCGTCTTTTATCTGTCGACCGACGTGTTATTTTGTGTTCTCTTGTCTGTTCAGGGCGGCGCGATCATCTTTATCGACGAGTTGGACGCGATCGGCACCAAGAGGTTCGGAGGGGAGCAGTCAGGGGACAGGGAGGTTCAGCGGACCATGCTTGAACTGCTCAACCAGCTCGACGGCTTCAGCAGCAATGACAAGATCAAGGTGCCGCAGAGTGTAGACTGCAGCAGTAGCTCACGGGTTTTGGGGACAGGGTTTATTTAGGATCTTGGACCCGAAACCCTTTGTTGTCTAGAATCTCCGGTGTAGACCTGGGATTCATTCGAAAGAGCAAGCTCTCCCGTGTGGTACCTACCTGAGGCCATTGGACGGAAGTATATGTTTTTGGAAAATGCCTCCTTGCTGGGGCACTGAAACATGATGCACACATCGCACACGAACGTTACAACATACGTATGCATCGGTTACCCCTTATGTTGTGATGCTCGATTTTGATATCAAACCGACATCGGGTGTCGTCTCCTCCTCGCGACTCATCTCGCCCCGGCTCACTCTTGCTCGGGGCACACAAGGGCAGCCAATCCAATTGAAGTCGCCCACCACCAAGAGACCATTTCATTACTTCTCTTCCTCGGCGTGACACGACGACAGGTGATCGCGGCAACCAACAGGCCTGATGTTTTGGATCCCGCGCTGCTGCGATCGGGACGGCTGGATCGCAAGATCGAGTTGCCTCACCCTTCCGAGGAGGCCAGGGGGCGCATCCTTCAGATTCACAGCCGGAAGATGAACGTAGACAAGAGTGAGTGTCTGTCGTTGTCGTTGGTGCTCTTGACGACAGTCGTTTGTTTAGCCTACCGAGTGCGGAATTGCCGTCGGTGCAGCGGAGTAGGGGGATGCGTTGCATGTCCAGTCTATGATAGTCGAGTTCCGTGAACGAGGTCGTACTCACAACCGATGTATGTCTTGTAATATTGTTGGTTCTGTTTGCCAAGGTGTGTATTTGACAGAAGGCAGCGGGTGTACAGCATGAGAAGCAGGGATACATAATTTCCGTTAACAGGATCGATGGAATGTATTGCAGCAGCTCCTAGCTCTTGAAGGAGAGGGAAAGAAGCCTTGAGCTAAAGCGTGCTTAATTAACGTCCGTTTATGTTCCCACCGCTCTACCAGGCGATGTTAACTTCGAAGAACTGGCGAGGTCTTGCGACGACTTCAACGGGGCGCAGTTGAAGGCGGTGTGCGTGGAGGCGGGCATGCTCGCCCTCAGACGGGAAGCGGAACAGGCAAGGAATAGTAGAATGGCTCTATCCCTGACACGCGTCAGGATCTGACTTAGGGGGGGGGGGGGGCACATGGAGGTCGCAGTTGTGTTACCTGAACGCGCAACCTGAATGGAATGTGCAAACCCACTTCAAGGGTTTGCTAAGTGATGGGATGCGTGCCTTCTCAGAGGCGTTGCTGTTGAGGGGGGATACAATTCAGTTGCGACAACGGGGTCGGGTGCAAAGCAATTGGTCACGCGCTGGGTGAATGTCGACTGCTGACGCGGTCGTTACCTCATCCCACACCTTGTGTCCTACATCGTCCAGATCAAGCACGAAGACTTGATGGAGGGTATCAACGTCGTGTCCGCCAAGAAGAAGGGATCGCTAGACTACTACGCATGACGCGGAGGCTACGCTCTTGCTGTCGTTACCGCTATGCACACGTCGAGAGAAGAGTCAAGGGGTGGCTGCATTCGCCACTGCTACCCGGAGAGGGCGTGTCGGGGACGGACGTTTCCCAATCAGCAATATCCAGGGACAAAAATATGTGCGAGATCTTCAAATTTAGTTTGGTTCTTGAGTTTAAGAACGCTGGTGCGGCGGTGCTCTTGAAGGAGAAAGGGCTTCGAGAAGACCGGGGTGCTGCGCGTGCGCAACGGTGGATGTTGCGCGTGGCTGGACTCAAGCCGTAGAAGAGCGTTGCTGGCAAATCAGCTGTAAAAAATATTGGTGTGGTGCTCTCGTTGCAAGCAGTGCTGCGGCGCGTGGTCACGTTTGTCATTTCGCGCTGACTGATGACGTTGTTGAACGTGAAACGTGGTATTTCGATTCACTCACACGTGGGCAAATGGAGTCGGATGTGCCACAACCAAATGAAATCGCGAGTCCCCCCTTAAGCGGCTGCGACAAGGCAGTACGCACACGCATACGGCGGCATCGTACAGCAGGTGCACGGTGGCGTAGCCAGTAGCCACATGAGCACAGCCACGCAAGGCGGTCTTCCAATCCTAACACTCACTCACTCCTCTTTGTCTGAGGAACGTAAAATGCGTGGCACATGAGCTTCTCCCACTTAAACTCGCGCGCCTTTTGCACGGCACTACTCCCCAGAGCGGGTACCTGTAGTATACGAAGGATCGTCATTATGCTCCACAACGACAGAAACGCAACATTCCCGCTTGTCGCGCCACCTTCCTCTGTATCACTCCGGCGTGAGCCGCACTCGTTGCTGGGGGCGTGTTGTCGCCATATTCAACACTCCGGTTCCTCCTTAGGACAAGCACAGCAGGTTCCTTCTAGGGATAACCACAGCAGCTCCTTGCGCCAAGCCTTCCCCCGACGACTAGTCTACTCCGGTGGCAATCAATCCCTGTGGTCCACGCCGAAGTGTTCCTTGATGTTAAAATGGCGGAGGGCATTCAAACTCGACCGTTTCGCCAGTTCGCGGCTGAACAAGTTGCAAGACGGCAGAGAGCGACAAGACAAAGGCGACGGCAAAAGGGAGGACTTGGATATGAGCAGCAGCGATGGCAGCTCCGCAGCAGTTAGTTGCATCTTGGTGTTCGCCTCGTCTCGTCTATCTCGAAAAAACGACTTGTACCCAACCAACAAACTGACAAGAAAGAGACAGATACGGCCGAGGCGAACTCTCCGAGGGTGAAGTTACGGCACGATCGTAGTCAATCATCGCTGTCTCAAGAGGCAAACACCCCCGAATTCTGCCCAAGTTTAGCCTGCCAGCAGCCGCATAACAGCAAAAGTATCTAGCAGACAGCAAACCATTTTATACATACACTGTTCAGAAACACACGATCCACCGTTAGCAACCACGGCGCTTGTCTGTGTGCCCTAAAGGTGCTCACTCTGTTCACTCACGTGCGGGAAGGATATCCTCCTCGCGTGAAGCAGCAGCCTCTCCGACTTGGCCGTTCCTTCGGGTGTGCCGTACAACGAGTCTCCCATCACCGGATGGCCGAGGTGCACAGCGTGCATTCGGATCTGATAGAGAGATCAAACACAGACACGAGAGGCGCCACGAACAAGGACACAATGTTAAAACCGCTGCTGCAACCGCGTTCGGGTGTTGCGAAAGATGAAATTGGTGACAACCCTAGAGGCCCCCCAACGTTTCCCCCAACTTTTCCTGTCCCTCTGTTTCAACAAGCAGTCCTGTGTGCCCCTGGATTGTTGATGCATGTGAGCAAACCAAACACTCGGTGCCTTTCCCCTGGGTGACCCCGCCTGGCTGGCGCGTCCAAACATACCGAAGGCTGTAGTCTGAGGCCCAGATCAGCTGGGATCCTAACACACATAATTCACACGTTCTTCGCGAAACACAAACGACTCTTGGGGTATGGTTACGCCCATGCAAATCTCACAGCAAGGGCGCACCTGGTGGGTCCTGCCCGTTACCGGTGTAAAGTCCACCCATGTCCGGTCCTCCTTCCGTTTTATCCGCTCCCAATTCGTGTGCGCCTCGTTCCCCTTCTCTTCGCAGAACATCTGCGGCAACCGTAAGAACCAGAAACACAGCGGCAAGAGAGGAACGATGTTATTGGTGCTCTGATGTAGCAATGTGGAATCCAAGAAAAAAAGTGGGATATCTAGCTATGTACAGGTTCAGTCGATGACATGGGAAGGCGTGATGCAATGTAATTGGTGTGTATCCCGCCGAGGAAATGAAAAAAGGTGGCGCTGCAACGGGTTGTCCGCTGCGCAACAAGCTGTTGCCGCGAGTTTACGTGGGGGTATCTTCGATTCCATAGGAAGCCAAAGGATTTGCCGATCGTTCTCGCGTCGAATCAAGTGAGTCTCACGCGTATGTACAATGTATGCTGTTCACCTGTTTAGGCCGATTATCGGTATCAGGCCGCAGCTTGGCCGTGACTTCGCCGCTCTTGGGCGTTTTGGCCATCCTCCCTTCCAATACCGCGGTGTACGTCTTGGAAGGAACTGCCGCGGGAGATCGACAGTGACGATAGACCCACCGGAAACAGAAAATTGATAAAATGATTATGTGCGTTTGTGCGGAAAAACAAGGAAAACGGGTGAGTCATTGTCTCCGTCCATGTAATGCATACCCCTAGCATTGACGGGAGGCGGCCGTCGCCCGTCTTCGCCAAAAGCCGTCGGTGAATGAAACGATTGTGTCGACCAGAACTTTGACTTTCAACAAAATATTTTCCAATCCGACGGAAGTCCACGAGAACATCAGCCTGGTCTGCGTGTACTTCCCTCGAGACCGTGCTAAACTGTCAGCAACACCACGTAGATACCGTACCCACCCAGCGTTGTCGGCAGTCCTCCTTCCCCCTGTGTGTGCCTCCAGTGTTTCCGCCATAATCACTCCTTTGATCTAACGTGAAGCACCTTGTGAAGCACCTTGATTGGTGGTCAACCACGGCAACGCCACTCGGAGATCGATTTTCTACAAGGCCTTCTCGAAAAGACAAGACATCTCCTTGTGTGTTGAGAAGGACACGCCATGCCACGGCCAGACCGATCGATCCGCCGCGAGTAAACAAACCCTTCCCGCCCCCAAGGCACGCAGAGAACTCACCCCGCTCACGGAACTGCCGACACATCTCCCTCGCCGCCTCTACCGTCAGAGCCATTACAACCAGTCCCGAAGTGTCTTGGTCCAAACGATGGACATGCCGGGCCTCGGGCCACCTAGGCATATATAGGCCGCGGGTGTCACGTGGACAGAAGCACGCTTACGCTTGTGAAAAAAAAGAGAGCGGCTATCGACAGCACACTATCAATGAAAGAATTAGTGCCGCAGACCTCCCACGAAAGTGTGCTCGCTCGCGGGATACTGTATCTGCCGAGCTGCGGTTGGTACGGAGCTCGTCCGCTCTTGCGCCCAGCACACCAACCCACAAACAAAAACGCTTGGGGCGAAATCGTCACAACACTTGTAGTGTATATCGCTCGCAGCTCCATCTCCGCCTAGCTCCCCACTTGTCCCCTTCATGCCACCTTACGGCGCAAACCGACCGGCCGACGCGTGCGGCGCCTGGCCGGGCACTTGTTGTTGTGTCGACAGACGCCAGCTCACCTGGATTGCACCCGCGTCAAGAGGCAGTCCACCCCGGGGCCGACCTCTTTCTTGAGGTGACCGTCGACGGTGTCCCACAGACGAGCGGACACCTTGTCCCCTTCCTCCCCTTCCAGACCAAGAGTCACCGCCGTGTAGTTGTGAAACTTGCTTCTGCCGGGCAGATCGTAGAAGCGAGGGGGCGACGATCAAGGGTAGAGTCGGTGTCCAGCCCCTGACGCCGTCTCGGTTGCATCATCTTTGCCACCCCCCGACTTTCCCCGGTCTCCACACCCTACCTACACACGGTCAGGTCGATACATAGAGCGTGTTGCAGGCAGCTGAAGCAGCACTAACAATATCGTCCGAGCCTTAGGGGGAAAGGAAAAGGAAACCAAACCGCACAACCTGCCCGTGTCGAATAAAAACTCAACCCTGCTACACTGTCGTCGACCTTGATCAATGATGCTGAGGAACCACACACGTGTTTCACCTTTTCCTCGGGACGTTGTTTTCCTTCGTCAGACGGCGCAGGTGATCGCGGAACTCCTCTTCGCCCTCGGTCTTCTCGTCGTTAAGAAGTGACTCGCATGCCGTGTGTACGACGTCCGTCCAAAACTCCTGCCTTTGCCTCTTGGTTCCGCTGTGCCACTCCACCTGTCATAATGTCACGAAAAAACATGATTCAGGGTTGTGTGTCAACATATACGGAAGGGCGTAGACCGGAGCCCAGAATAAATGGGATCGAAAACACACACACATACCGGAACACAGCGTTTCATGATATGCCGCAACACATGAGGCGGTTAGTCTGGGGAATGATTGTCACAACTTGCGTAGTTCGTTTGTATGTATCCGCATGCCCAAGACAAGCAGTCGCCGACTGAGCTAGTCCAGTAGTGTTGCAGCAGACGAAGATCAATCAAGTGCTGCAGCAGCAGTAACTCGCCAAACCCACAGGCAGCAGGCCACCGCAAGTTTGACGTGTGTGCCACAACAGCCGCCGAAGGTATCCCTCAGCATATGAGCACCAACAAAAACCAGTTGACAGCAGTAAGCAGTTAGCAGCAGGGGATCAATCCAAGTTGCTTTGACCGGCGTTCTCAATCATTAAGCTGGGGATCCTCTACCATCCCACATATCTGCACATGCATCTCCATCTCGCTCACGACTCACGACGCGCCAAGCAACCCCGGCTGTGGCCATTCGGAACATGCGGGGGGATCAGCGCAAAGTCTGCGTCTTCCAGCAATAACATATTTTTCATCTACCCTGTTTCGCCTTATCGATGTCGGCAGCAGTTACGAGTAACGAAGACTGGGAAATGCTCTCTCTCTCGCTCCTCTCTCACATGCACCCTCGTCTCAGCCTCCGGTCCGACCGCCTTGCCTGGAACAGTCCTCAATCCTGTAGGCTTGTTGAGTACTACAATGTCGGGGTCACTGAATATAACATCTACATCACTACAATCACTGCTGCTGTGTTGATTGCGGCTGTCTTCCCCCTTCGTAGACTTATCGTGTGACATGGCAGGAGCCTCTCTCTCTCTCTCTCTCTCTCTCTCTCTCTCTCTCTCTCTCTCTCTCTCTCTTCTCTCTCTTCTGTCTCTGTCTGCCACCGCACTCGCTCGTGCGTGCCACCAGTATCAAAGCAAGCAAGCCAAACTTGAGCCAAGCAAGCCAAGCAGGCAGGGGGCCCCCAAACAAGAATATTGGGGTATGTGCGGAAGGCAAGCAAAGGTGAGAAGTTCCGCGTGACAGAACCTCGACCACCACGCGGAAAGTGCACCTTCGGGACCTCTGCTCTCGCAAGTTGCTAACAAGAGACAGAGGAATTGATCGCTGGAGAGCAGGGAGGTGGAGAAAGGGAGGAAGACGTTTCAGCTACCGGGGCGCCTTCAGGCTTGTAATTACGCGAGTGAAGGGGGGGGGGGGGGCGAAGTATGCCCTCGGCGTGAGACTTGTACACCGTCACACGAAGACGCTCCAGCATCCTCAGGAAACGAGACAGCGGCGCCTTGGTTAAATTTTGCTGACACGCGGGCTGCCACGATGAATACTGGAGGCACTGCATCACGCTGGACGAGAGTATTGTCGTTCCTACAGCATGCGATCGGGCCCGAGAGCATCAAGGGCGGGAACCAAGCAGCAGCGACGAGCGTTCTCGATCGCGATCAGGGCGGGTCTCCTCCGCCTAGCAGTGGGCTGTCGGGCGAGCAGCTGGCAGTGACGGGGATAAAAAACCTTGGAAACACGTGCTTCCTAAACGCGGTCTTGCAGTCCCTTGCGAGCTTTCACGTCTTCAGGGAATACCTGGAGGTGAGTGCTTTCAGACAGGCCCGTAGATATGGCGGCCACTTGGTCGGATGCTGATATTTTGTGTCAGCAGGCTTGGTCTTGTGGGAGATCCGGCACCCCTTGAAGTTTTTGCTTTGACGACAGCTCTGCTCCGCCTGACGACTTGTCTGATGCGTGCCAGGAGCTCTACAACTGCAATCAACGCGAGCGAGAGCGAGAGCGCGATTCGGACAAGGTCTGTCATGGCGCAGAATCAGTGAGCATTTGTAAACACACGGAGGCTCCCGATGGGCCTATCGTTCTGCCCTTGTGTGCGGCATGTTTTCATCTGTTGTTGCCCTTTGATGCCGAAGACTAAGATTTGAAGTCGGGTTTTTCTGTGTGGGGTGGGAGCATTGGGGCCCCGTCCGGTTGAACGGCAGGAAAGAGAGAGGGCGTGTTGTTGGAACGTCTTGCCCCTGCAAACGGCGGAATTGCACCATGCGTCGACACGGCAGCTGGGCGTTTCTTGTGTGCATGGGGGTTCGTTTTGATGTTGAGTTCGGCGAGGGTTGTAGTTGAGTCTGGCATGCTTGCGTGTCGGGGGCAGGAGCAACAACCCGCCGCCGTCGGTGGTTCAGCAGCATTATATGAGCATTAAATAGTAATACCTGGACGGCCCCGACTCAAGCGTGTTGTGTACGTCACACCAACGTGCGTCGCCATAACCGAACGCCTCTCTGATAAAATTGGAGTCCCCAAAGTTCGAAGTTTTGTATGTGCTCGCCTGCAATCACGATTTTAGCCCTTATAGCGCCTGCCAGCACAACAACCATTTCGGCACCTGAGCGCTTGGGGTGTTGCTTGGCTGTGGTCGATGGCCCACAAACAGGTTTTATCTACGAAGCCCCTGGAGAACACCGTCTTCACGTGTGAGCTGCTGCAACTCATGAAAGACCTCGAGCCGCAAGTGCCGCCGGCCCCTCCTGTCACACCCATCATCCCCACCAAATTGCGAAAGCTCTTGAGGGACAGAGTCGACACGTTTGGCAAGGAAGACCAACAGGTTGGTTTTAACGGTATGCACATATTTTTTCTGCTTTGCATACAATATGTATATGTACACATGCGCACCAGGATCAGTATGTGTTGGTCGTGGATGACATTGCGGACTGTAAAACATGCGGCAATTACTTTAGTTAGATACTTGTATGCAACCTTGGAATTGTTCGGTTTTTCAGCCGCTGCCGCTTGTAGACTGACTGGTACTGCCTCCACCAAAACATAATGGAAACGCAATAGAAGGAGGCTCAATCAAATCAAAACCCGGCATATCTAAGTTGCTACTTTTATCCGCGCGAGCCTCTGACTGCAGGATTCACGTACCCCTGAGAGGTGTAGGTACTTGCCGTGAAAGACATGACTGCTGTTGTTCAGAGGCTCGCGGTATAGCCAGGAGGTGTTTCGTTCTCTTCTCTTCCCGCGGCCCGCGGATGCAGCAGTTGCATGCATCCTACACCAGGTGCCTATGATAAACGCGACACCGTCATTCGTGTGGAAGCTAGCTACTTCATAGCCACGGGTGTTTGTTGTTACGTGAGCGAGATACGCATGTGATGAAGTATGTTTTGCGCAATTATTTTTCGGTCGGCGATTTTACGAAGCACAGAGGGAAAGGGACCGAAAGAGACAGACCGCTAAATCCTATTTGGCGATATGTAGGAGCCAAGACAAGACAAGGAGGTGCAGGGAAGTGCAGAAACAGGTCAAGGGAAAGTCCCGGTGGATTTCCTCCTGTGACATTCTTGTCATGTGTCCCTTGTTTCGTCAGAAAGGTGCAGTCTGACGTCAACATTTACATACCGAGAAAAGATGGGATGGTAACATGCAAATGCATGCATACTGACCGCGTATGACTAAATTCATCCGCGCGACGGCATGGGGGGGGTGAGTTTTGAAATCGCGTCCGTGGAGAGTCACTGACTCGAGCTGGAGACGGGATTTGCGGGACGATTTTGGTGATTCCGGCAGAACCAAAAGCACGTTCGGAATAATATATGGTAGTGTACGACAACAACCTGGCATTTCTCTGAGGGCTTCATCTCAGCTATGAGCCCTCCTTTGCCATATCATGACCGTCATTCTGTTGGTCAATCTGAATAATTTAAAAGGTCACCTACCTTTCCGCGGTGCCGATTCTCACCACTTTCATCTGCGCTGCTGTTATTGGTTTTGTTCGTGTGCGTATGCGTAGGATGCCCAGGAGCTGTTCCAGATGGTGATGCGCCTTGTGGGCGAGGAAGCTGCGCTGTGCATAAAAAACCGCAGCACGAGCAGCACTAGCCGAACATCTGCGCCCGGGATACGCATCACTGGAGGCTTCGCGGATCTGATGGATACTGCTTCGAAGGTAACAGTTTACCCGCGGCAAACCTGCACATGAGAGTAAATCATGTTACGTATGGAATCTTCAGGGACTGGTTCGTTCAACATGCTCGCCATCCGCTCGAAACATTGGACTTTCCAGCCGTAGCGAAACGTGGGTGCGCAAGTGGCATCTCATCGCATCTAACAACCTGCACGTGGAGCACGACAGCGAATGACGCGATGCAGCGTTTGCCCCATCCCATCTTTTTCGAGTCAAGAAGTCACTGCTGTGCACTGCTGATTGGCGTTCTGACTGGGTTCGGTAAGAATCACTACTACAACTGGCGCTGCTTTGCTTCTATTAGTCCCACCCGGCGCACGTGCGTGTTTGTCCGCTTACACGGTGGTGTTGCGTTCCCCCTGGCTCGATTCATTCTAACTCTTGTCACTCGTGAATGTATCGCGCTGCTAGGAGGGCGTCTTGAAGAATTTGCCAGAGAATCCGCTGCTGGGCTCCCTCATGTACTTGCGGCACTGCAGGGGGTGCCAGCAGAAGTCGGGACGATTGGAGAGATTCGTCGACTTATCGTTGACTCTGCCGGAGGCGAGAAACGTGAGTAGCCTTGTGCCAGACACAAGTCTTTTGTACTCCATGGCTTGTGTACTTCGAAGTACAAATATAGTGCATTAGGAGGACTTACTGGTGTGTGTTCATGTGTGTGTGTGTGTGTTTTTTTTTAAAGCGACGCTGCTGCCGTGCCTGTCGCAAACCTGGCGAGGGTCTGGCAGTCTTCTTACGTGCTGAATATTATTTGCGTTGCTTCTGTTGCAGATGCAGGTTTGCTTCGAAACACCTGCATCAACAAGTCCTCGCCCTATCCAAGCGTGTTGATGGCACCCATTCCTGTCTTGTCTTGTCTTTTGCCTTGTGTGCTCCGCAGCCCCACGTAGCAGGGCCCGGCGTGCCAAGTCCACCGGTCAACCTGGACAAGATCCTGGAAGATTTCACCCGGGAGCAGCTGGTCGAGGACGTCGAGTGCCCAAAGTGAGACAGAATCCTGCGGTGGCGATTTCTCCTTGTCAGGTCCCACAGCATAGTGTTGTGTGTCGTTGTTCGCTAGTGCTCAACCTGAAGGAAAGGCACAGTGCCCAGCGGTGGCTCTCGATTATAGGCAGCACGTGTTGTAGCTCTTGAGCGGTCCATGTTTTTCACGCTCCCATTTGTCGAATGGGCACCAAGCAGCAGCAGTTTAGTATATACCACGCCCACGATTAAACGAGTCGTTGCTTCCGTCCGGTGTCATGTGTCGGTGGGGTCGTGCAGGTGCGCGATGAGGAGCGCGATGGAGGCCCACGAGACCCACGACGAGGAGAGCGAGAGCGAGGAGGAAGAGGAAGAAGAAGATAGCGACGACGAGGAGGTTGTGGTGCCACTGCAGAGGGTGCGGGCCGACATGCGAATGTTGCTGGCGACACCGCCGAAGACGCTCTGCCTTCACTTTCCAAGGCGGCATCAAAGGTGAGGATGGATGGAATCATGACCTAGCGTGACTGCTGTTGGCGTGAGTGTTTATGGTTGTTGCGTCCCACCCAGGGGGAAGTCTTCGGTGTGCAGCCGACAGCATTTTGCAGTACAGCAACTGCTGTGCTATGAACGTGTTACAGTCGGTTGCCGATGGACGGGTTTTGCATTGTTGACGCTGAATCTAACCTCTCGTGTGATCGTCCTTCGTCCACCCTTCGACACTCTCCGTGGCTTCTGTAAATTTTCCTGCACTCAGCCCATCGGGATCTGAGATGAAACTCAAGCAGAGGGTTATCTTCCCCGCGCACCTCAACGTGGCGCGTTTCTGCTACGCGGGAGGGTGCCACACGGACAGCATCGGCGTCCCCACGGCGTTCCAGATGAAGAGCATGCTCGCGAACAGCCTTCCGCAGCTGCCTCAGGGCCACGCCGTCAAGACAACGCCCGGATCAGCAGGCTTGCCTCCGGAGGCGTTGCTGCCGACACCACCACCACCTCCATCCGCGAGCTCGCCGCCGCAGGCCAAGGCTCTCCAATCGCCGCAGTCTCTCCCGGGCTATAAGCAAGCTCTGGTCGGGGGAAGCGCGCAGGAAGCAAGCACTGCTTACTCACGGAAGGAGCTGAACGGGTTGCGCAGCGGCAGCGGTGGTAGCGGCGGCGGCAGCAGCGTCTCTGGGAGCGTCGAGGGGGGACGGGACTCAAACGACGTGGGGAGTGTGTCGGGTAACGACGGAGCTATGGAGTACGACTTGAGAGCTGTCATCGTCCACAGGGGGAGCGCTGACAGCGGGCATTACACTGCTTTCCGCAAGGTTGACTCTGACAAGGGAGAGCCGGTAGAGGAGGAGGTACCAGCGGGGTCCGAACGGGTGTCGGAGGCACCGCGCGGGGAGAGAAAAGGGGGGGGAGGGGGTGCCAATAAGGAGTGGGTGTATATATCGGACGAGGAGGTGGAGAGGGTCTCCGAGAAGAGGGTTTTAAGCAGTCAAGCATACATGTTGTTTTACCGCCAGGGTTCAAGGTAGGGGTCAGGACTGCTTGCTGTGAGAGCGTGCGTGCTTTCAGGAACCGGAACGTGCACAAGACGGGAGGGGTAGTATTGTAGGCATAGCTCTGGCTTGCCGTAAGATTGGCGGTCTCTCTCAATTACCGTGTGGTTGTACGTGGTGTTTCGTTGTCATTGTTTCTTGTGGCCGGTACGAGCGCGAAACATTTGGCGTGGGTGTTGCCCGGTACACAAAAAGCGGCTGCTGCAGTATTCAGATGGCGTCTCGTGCGTGCCTTTCGTATGGCTATTGATCGAGTATGTCAGGACAGTTCTCAACCAAAAGTGTGGCGTCACGGAGGTAAACCCGCAGAATGGGAAAACCTTCTTCGCGCTGGGTGTTCGAGGCCCGTAACCTGTCCAACAACACATGAAATGATTCAAGTTGCACAGCGAAATAGCCTGTGTTTTCCAGGCTAACACAAGTGAAAGTTTCAGGTCCATGCTCTCAGAGGAGCCGATCCCCACCACATTCTACTCAACGTTGGCCAGAAGCACCACATGATGAGGCTATGCTCGTCATTGCCGAAAGAATGGTCGCCATGTGTGCGTGGGCGTGGATGAAGCTGCAGCGCTTTTACACATGCACGCGCGTTTTTCGAGATGACTACAGTAGTCACCAGAGTAATTCTCTCGTCGATCGAGAGAGAGAGAGAGAGAGAGAGAGAAAGAACACGAGAGAAGTGATTCTTGACGAGATTTTTACCGAGTCATCAACAATTCATCGCTCGACCCCTGGGAGTGCTTGATTGCACGCGCCGCGGTCTTTTTTCGTTCCGTGGTCCTCGCAACAGCACAACATCGAAAAACCGCTTGCAGTCGACGGGTCTCACGGCCGATCGAAGTCATTCAATTCAGTGCTCGTCACGACTGAATGCATGAAAAAGAGAAAAGCGCGGCGACTTCGAACCGATACAAACAGAAATCGCGCGGCTTGGACCAAACCTTTTTTTTTTTTCATGTAAACAAAAGGAAAGGTCATCCACAACACAGTAATGCACGTTTGCATATGGTGCAAACAATCACCGTGCTGTTCGATCCCGGGCCACACAACTGCCTGGCTGATTACTGGACAATATTTCTACGGCTGCCCTTATGGATACAAACTCGAAGGGCCCGACGTTTAGCATAATGTACGGAACCTTTAAAAAAAAAAATGGCTTCCGTCTAGAAGAAACGGCTTTGAACCCGGTGGCGACGTTCGATGCCCTTCGCACCTGGCTCTCCTGCATTTCCCTCAAGCGCAGCAAAAAACGCCTCCAAGAGCCTTCCTAACGAAACCTACATCCTCGTCATGCCCACGGACGGGCCTCTGGAGGATAATTAAGGAAGGGTGCAGCGCCTATCCAGAAACCTGGAAGACCGTTTCAGAAGGCATAAATAACGCCTCTTGACAGCGGCCAGGACACTCGCAGCCGGATCACCAGCTGTCCTCACACCCTTCCCGCTTGTCCTACCTCTCTCGGTAACTCTCGCGTGGTCCCCTCCCCCTACTACACCCGAAAGCGGGTGTAACCACAAATAAATACTGCGGTTTGCGAACCCCCCTACTTCAAAAACAAACTAGCCGCATGACTCGCGGTCACAAAACCGAAATCGCCTGCATCGGAGGTGGAGAACTTTCGCCACCAAGGTCCACAACCGCCAGCCACCCCTTTTCGCCGTCCGCATTACACAAAAAAAACAAAGAAACAACCGGAAATCGAATTAGGGCGGGTCCGCCAAGTTGTTCTAGTTGGCACTGAAACAAGCGCAGAGACCGCAGCACGCCGGCTCCTTACTCCAGGCGTCCGCGCTCCTCGTAGCTGTGCCGGGAGTCACTGGAATGGACCCCTGCGCATTTCTCATCATGGAAGCTGTCGGGTCCTCCGTGGTCTGCGGAGCGACAACAAGAACCGCCCGAAAAGGCAAAGGGAAAGGAAAAGGCACGTTTCGTGAGCTACTCTACTGCGTGCGGGCGCGTCAGCGCAACCATGAGAAATCGAAAGGAAGGCTGGGATTCAGACTCAGTTTCAACAGCTGTAGCATTCGTCATTCGTAACTTGGCCTCTCGCGGCGAACGCCGGAGTTCCAACCACAGGTCAACAGGATGCACGCACGCCTCGCGTTTTGTGTGCAGACCAGACGTCCAGCGAGTCCGCTGGCAACAGCAGCGGCGTCTCTTCGACACCAAGACCTGCACTACTTCGTACATTTGCTGTGTGCTTCGCCTACGTGGAAGGCCTCTCGCTGCAACTCTCATTGCACTGCACTCCTAAGGTGACACCCTCCACCTACACGCAGCAAAGGATGAGACCAACACACAAACAAACACAACACTCCTAGGTCGTCAATAAAGACAAGAAGCTCTTTGCCGGCAAACATCGGACATCTCATCGGAAGAACTGACCTTGCTCTCCTCTTCCTCCATAGTCTGCAACACCTTCAACACCTCAACCCAACGAGCGGCCTCTTCCCTCGTGGATGCCTGCGTGAACAAGTCGCGCGTTGGCGTACGAACAGACGAAGATTTCATGTCCATTGCATCATTCGGGAAGGGGAAATGTTGAAGAATCACTACGTCTGATGAAAGTGTCTTATGACAGATGAACAAGTGCAAGAACCGACACGTTTCAGTTTCATTCTATGGTCCTCACGTTGCATTGTAGCTTATGTCCGGTCGCCCCGGTGGTCTAGTTGGTATCCTCGAAACCTTCTAGAGGTCAGGTCAGGGGTTCGAATCCCGGCGTAAGCGACCTTTTCTTGCAAAGTGAGTTTTTCTCTCGCTTCAGCTCCTGGCCTAGTGGATAGCGCTAAATAGTTCGTGTGTACACAGAGGGAAGACAGTGCTGAACTCTTCTCGCATCAAAAATCGAAGGCAAAGTACCGCAGGAGGGGAGGGTAGAGAGAGGCTCTTCATGTGTGACCACGGGTTGGAGTAGACGGCACTAAATAGTGCTGTGAGCGCTGATTTGAAGTGAAGACAAAAAAAAAAAAAGCCAAGATGATGGCATCAAAACTCAGCAACCCAATAAAAACCGCCACGACATGAGCAATACTCTACACAACGAAACATAACTATGGTACCATACACCGTGTTTAGTGTACCTTCATGGTGTAAACGCGATCGTTGAGCTCGATGGTGAAGAGAGAGCCGTCGTTATCCTCCTCGTACGACTCGTCATCTGGGTCTACCAATCGGATCTCTCCCACCTGGGGCAGGTTAAGTGCCGCCAGGAGCTTCTCCATCTTCTTCGACTGCGAATGTATGCACACATATATACAGTAGTGACGATAAACGCCACACACCAGACCGACATAGCCAGGCGGGCACACGGACATACAGCAGGCGGACAGACAGGGGGATTGATTGCAATGGGGGACGTGAGGACCTCAAACGTGCGGGACGAAGCTGGTATACATACATAGCTGAAACCTTTTCAAAATGTCGTTCGTGCAATGCCGTTTCATATCCAACATCCAACACCAACAAACAAGCTGCGTTCGCAGTGGAGCAAACAGCTATTTAGCTAGCTAGCTCTACCTTCGGAATACGAATTGACGTGAAAATTCACCCCCGTCACTGTGCATTTCAGATACCAATAACACACAGGTCGGACCACAACCAACCGGAGGCTCGTACAACGTCTGCACACCTTGTAGTAGGTAAGGTAGTGCGCGTTGGTCTCGAACCATCTTTTCTGCCACTTGCCGGTCTTGGCCTTCTTCTGAAGGTAGCCTGCCGGTGCCAATCGGGGAGGGGAGGGAGGTGCACTGAAAACGACGTACTTTTCGATAGTATAGACATAGTATTGCGGACCCTTCGGTTTAATTATATTTTAGTATACCTATTCCAGGTTAAGCTAGTCTGTGACCACGGGAATCGACGGCGTCAAGTTCTAGATTAGTACCGACAGATGAAGGTGGTACTGGCTCGAGGGGTCGGAACGGTTTTTAATGTGAAGACAATAAAAACAGTACAGCGTGCTGTGCATATGCTATCTAAATGTGACCGGCCTTGCATGAGAAAAACGATGACAGCCAGGCCAAATGGATGTGGGGACACCGCAAGTTGGGCACCGAGGCGGGGTGCCTGAGAGGGGTGTACCCAATGCCATTCAAGGATGAGTGCGCCTGTCGTCAACATATATTAACCAACAATCGCCCACCACTGCTGCTGTTTGATCGTGGAGCTTGCCACTATCTCAAGATGCACATGAATATATGGACATACGGCCTAGCAGCGTTCACACATTGATAGTAGATCTTTAAGACTACCGCTTTCCGATTGGTCGGGCCTTGTTTGGCGTTGGTTCTAACGGCGATTTCTCTCCAGTGCCCTCTCGCCGTTCCGCATTCCGAGAACGCGGTGCAGCAGCGTGCTCGCCCAATTCACGGTCGCTAGGGCGCGCGTTGGCCGTGGGTTAGGGTTATAGGGTTAGGGTTAGGGTTGGTTGGGGTGAGGAACCTAGCCTTGCTCGCGTGAGGAATCTAGCCTTGCTATGCTACGTTCAACACCGGTTGACCCAAAGAGCTACCTGGTACTACTTATATTATCAAAGAACCGAACCTCATACACGGCCACAAGACGGCCTCCCTACAAGACGCTACATATCGTCCTCATCGCGATCGTGCTTGTGTATGCGTATGTACGCAGCCAACGTCCATCCATCGCCAACACTGCTCTTGTCAGTTCGTTCCTACGATATCATGTGGATATTGTAGTGCATACCTTTTAGAGTACACAGTCAGCAACGGACTTCCACATACATTCAACGGACTGGCGAACAACTACACCAGAATGGCATGGTTAAAAGACGGCTTGAATCACAGACACTCTGTAAGATGGAACAACGTATCATCAAACGGAACTTATCTATTTACTGCTGTCAGAGACACATAGTTCTACTGCTACAGTATTTCGGAACATGGCCCAAACACCAACACATGCCAAGTACAAGATTTCGAAGAACTGTTGTATGCTTACTACAAGTATATCGCAGCACAATAAGGCTCAAGGCACCGCAGAGGCAAGCATATTTAGTCCAAAAACGCTCATGCTTCCACCACACATGCTTTGCAGTTACGGGACCGCCCGTTGTTTCAATTAATTGTCAACAAGATTGCTCAACATTTTGTACGTTGTTGTTGTCCCAAGGCTCGATGGGCACTTCGGAGTTTCAAAGCGCTAACGTCTGCCGCAGCAGCAGCATCAGCTTACTCCCTACAAAGTAGGAACCAGGAGGAATGAGAAGCAAAAGTTCGATGCTACTGCTGTACGGCGGTGCTTCGCAGTAACCCCCCCCAACAGATTTCGGGGACAAAAAATAGACGGGGAAAGGCGGTGTGCCAACGGCGTCACAAAGGGAAACAAAGCATCAAGCGTTGTGTTGTGTGCGCAAATAATGTTGTTCAATCAATGTGTCGCGCCGGTCAAAAAACGCCGACTTTTGTGCAGTACGTATGCATACGGAATGCACTACTGCTGTAAACGAACACAGTAGTCTAAAACACGCGGCGTGATATCGGTGGTGCCAGCCAAACGCGTATACAGTAATAGAAATCTCGCTCCAAAAAAAAAAAAAATGTTCTTCGTTGGGGTTCATTCACGCTCAGAATTCCGGGCTGTCTGTCTGTCTGCCTTCTGTAGCATCTAAATAGGCAGCACTTTCTTGTGTACGCGGAAGCAGCAATAAGACTAGACTATTGCCAAATCGCCGTTGCAGGTGGATGGCTGTCATAACAGCAGTGACAAGCTGTGTTCGCATACATGTGCTTCCTTCGGTTCGGGTGTGCTGGTGTCCACACCAAGGACTAACATCCCTTTGGAACAGAGAGAGAGGCCCGCATACACAGCCGTCTACTTGCGCTACAACCCAAAATACGAAGCATCATCGAACAGGAGGGCAGGGAATCTTCTCTTATTTACAGAGTAGGCGAGCAGGCAGCAGCTTGGTAGGCGGCGTCTCTCCGTGTCATACGTCACCGACAGGCTGGACCCGGCCGTGCCTCCCCTCGTGGACATAAACCACGTTCGTGTGTGACCCCTGCGTCTCTCTCCGGCGAAGCAGTAAGCTTAACCTTGGACACACCAAGAGATCACGAGGACAAGCTTCGCTCCCGCCCGGCTGCGGATCACAAGCTCGCTCGAATTGGCTCAAGGGACATTCTTGGTGCACCTTTTTCCGGAATGTATCATACCGGTCGTTGTTGGAATGTCCAGCAGCACAGAACGTGGTAGGTGGGCTGCTACGGGCCATTATCTGCCCATCGACTGCATCTCGACACTCACCGCTTATCTGGGGAGGGGAACCTCCGCTTTCCATCTTGCCTCGCTTCTTGTCCGACCCCTCCTTGAGTCTTTTGAAGCCGCCTCTTTTCCGCTCTTTAGATGGACGCTCACTCCTTCCTCGTTTTCCGTACCGTCGGCTGCAAAAACCGAGGCCGACTCGCTCGTGTCGACAGAAGACAGCCAGACGAAAGGCGTGCACGCGTTGGGGGTTTCCTTTGGTCCTCTATTCCTTGAGTGTTTCTCCCTTTCCCCGGCTCTCTCTTCTATCAGCGAATGAACGACGTGTCTTCTCTGCGCGCAAAGCCCAAAGCGGCGGCGAACAGGACGGGGTTCTCTAGATAGGATAGGGCGCGGTGAGAATTGGGTATGTGCGTATAAAAACGGAGGCCCCGTGAATGCAACTCTGCCGGTCCCGAGGAGAGGTTAGAGATCGAGAGATCGAGGGCATCTGTTATTATTACCACGCAGCGCCCTGCGTGCGTGCAACAAACACGTTCTTCTTCTTCTTCTTCTTCTTCACCTTTCTCCTGTGTTGCTGAATTGGTGAGAAATGTTGGTGTCTTCTTGGCTTTCTTAGCTTGAGCCAAGCCAAGTCGTGAAGCCGACCCTGCGGTCCTGGCAATACTCCGCTTGCTGGTGCATGGAGCACGGCGATCCTGTGGGGCCGCAGCATGTACCTGCATTCTAGACTGCTGCTGTCAATTTTTACCGATGGGGGGATGTACTACTGCTGTTGCTGTTGCAGCTTTTTCTCTCAACTGCTTACTGCAGCCGGGAAGAACTGCTGATCAGTGAAGCACACCACAACAATGCCCCCACTCACCTACAACATGCACTTGAAAACTTGAAAATGGTGTTGATGTAAGGCTTGACTTCTACTACTGCTGACTCCGGAGTAGGTTTCAGCAGTTTTTCCAGCTAGGCAGCTGAGAGATAGTTGCTGTAACAATAGTTTGCCAGCAGACAGCAGTTTGCACCCGGAGCTCTGACATTTTTTGTAGAATGCACGTGCACAACAGTGCAGCCGTATTTGTAGACTGCGTAAATGTACAAGCGTAGGCAGACATGGTACTGCCTCGCTTCGCACACAAACAGGCGTTTGTGCAAGGAGCGAGCGAATCAGGTTTATGCGTCCCACGTTGTCTCACATACACTCGCTGTTTCGAAGCGTGGAGAACACAAGATATCTAGATCTAGATTGAGGGTCACATTCTGCGGGATATTGCGGTAAATTGCTCCTTGGTGAGGACAAACGATTTGCCACCCTTTATTGACAACATACGTATACAAACGCAGAGAGACTACCCGTGCGCCAACATGACGTTGATTCTGCCTCCCCCGAAGCCCTCTTCCCCAGACAAAACTTTCTCCAGCAGTTTTCGCGGTCTGTTGGTTAGATACGGTACAGTAACGCCCTCATTGATAGAGGGTTGGTAGAGCGGTGGACTACTCTCCGGCGCCCTCTCTCTGTTCCGCGTTTCGAGAACGCGGCTCAACTTCGTCGTGAAGGTTAAGGTTAGGATTGGGTTGGGTCGGCCACGGAGGTGTGCTACACGTCCCTTGCGCGGAGCTACGGTTCAACATCCGCTCAGACCTAAAGAGTCACTATAATACCAGACCGTAAACAGACCTCATTTTCCTCTCTCCACCAAAGGGTCACGCGCCGTACGAGGTCAATCATAGTGAGCAACATGTAGGGCTGTTTTCTTCTTACTCGCGTCTCGATGCAACGCATCACGCCGGAAAAATCCAGGCGATAGAAGCGCCGTTCAACCGCAACACTTCCGACACTTACGCCCGGCGCCCGTCTCCAGGTTTTGTACGAAGCATTCGATGGCGTTCGCTTCCGTGCTAGGCTTCCTAGCGAACCTAGAGAGCTCCATTGGGCTCGAAGCGTTCCCCAAGTACCGCCAGGAGGGTGCCGAAAAGAGCGATGCCCCTTTTCTTCTCTTCTTCGTCGGCTTTACGCTCTTGGTATATCTCTTGGAGACCTACCTCGACCTGCGACAACACCGGAACCTTAAAGCAGGAACACCGCCCCCCACCCTACTGGAGGTGCTGAAGACCGTCGATGAGGATAACAAGGGACTGGAGGCCGTGTCAAAGGTTTGGGATATATGCTCGGCGGGGGGCTATTCTGTAGCACGGTGCTGCAAGGTTGGAAGGGTAGATTCCACGTCAGAATCGTGCCGTCGATATGACACTTTGTTGTCGAAGACTCGTATGTAGCAAGCGAACCCGGCATTACAACGTGACTGTAAACCCCGATACGTTCAAAATCGTCGATACGACCAATGTTTTTTGTGTCGTCAGGTGGAAAGCAAGTTCTCGGCAAGCCAGGCCTACGGGCTGGACAAGAGCCGCTTTCATTTCTTCGACAGCACGTTCGACCTAGTTGTTGGGCTGACCACCAACCTTCTGGGATGGATGCCGTGGCTGTGGGATGTCAGCTCGGGCCTTGTGGCTAAGGCGGGCTTGGGGGACTGGGGTGGAGACATCCCAACCAGCCTCACCTTCGTCGTGCTAACGATGGTTTTGCAGGCAAGGCGAGGATCGTTGTTCAGCACGCCCGGTCAACCCAGGTGTTTGTTTTCGCTTGCGCTGTAGCCTCTGGATACAACGACTGTCCTCTTGTCTAATAGAAGACAAAATTACAATCGCGGGAACAAGCCTCATGCCTCGACCATGCACGATTGCTTACGGGGCTTCGTGGTCTTCCTACATACTTGTACCAAATTTTGGCCACCGCTCCGGAGCGTCCGGACAGCTACACAGACCCCCGACCCTCCCCCCCCTGCCCACCCCGAGGCATGACTCTGTTGCTGTTCTACGGCCTGCATACCATGCAAACATTGCGAATGTCACGGCCGAAATCCGATTGAGGACGTTGTCGACATGTAACTCCTCGCTGACTCTCGACCCCTCTTGGTCCTGCGTGCGTACTCGGTGGCGGCCATTCGCTTATCCGCAGACGTTGATTGGGTTGCCTTTTTCTCTCTACTCTACCTTTGTGGTGGAGGCCAAGCACGGTTTCAACAAGCAGACCCTTGGCCTGTTTTTCGCTGACAAGGTGAGCTGAGGGCCCCAGGTGGATCTGGCTTCCGGATATAACACTGCTTTGGAAGATAACAAGAGCTGACTTTTCTCTTTCTTCGCTTGCTATTTTCGTGTCTACAGTAGCAATGCCGAACAGGAGGCATTTCGCCAACTTTTGTCCCGGCCCAAGCCATCCCACCCTACGCTTATTTCTCAATAATGTGTCCCGAACGCCTAGTACTTATGAGAAACTCGCGCCAATTGAGACTTGTTTTTCCATTACTGTGATGGCGCCGGGGGGGGGGGGGGGGGGGCCCACCCCCCCGGGAAAAACAAGCTGCCCCCCGGCCTCCTCCAGGGCCCCGGGGTTAACTCCGTGGCGAAAAACATCCAGCTTCGGGGGCAACATTTTTTCCTCTACCTGGGGGCCCTCCTGTTTTGGTTTTCC